AGGTCTACAATTGCATACTCTGTCGGAAGGACTTCTATTGTACCAGTAATTATTATCAGCACGTGCTGACTCACGCGGGAATCAGGCCGTACAGGTGTGACATTTGCAAAGAGGACTTCACGCAACGGTCCAGCTTGCTGAGGCACAGAAGACAACATCCGGGACCGCTGCCGCCATTCGAATCGGCGCCGCCGCAGGTCACCGAGATGGCGAAGAACTTCTTGCGTAAGCTGCAGAGCGGGCAGATCGACAAGAACTCGGTTTTCAATTGCGACCGGTCTAGGATCTCGTTGACTGTATCTGAAGGAATTGATTAGATCGATAGTTGTTAAATATTTTTTACTCGCGCTTGGATTAGTCTTTCTGATGGGGATCGTTGAAGTTTGTGACCGGAGAGAGGTTAAATTGAACACGAAATCTAGCTGAGTTTCTTTAATTAAGTCCGTTTGGAATTTTCTAAATACGTGGAGTATAAGAAGAAGCTGTGTTGTTTAATAGTCTATTCGGAAAGATGTTTGAGTCATGGAGAAATCTTTTTTATCGAACATTGTTAATGAGAGTATAAGAAAGATTGATTAATTACTTTTTAGAATTCAAATGCAATTGTTAACTTTGTACCAAAGTTTATGGGGAAAAGATTTTTATCAATGTGGATGTATAGGAATTGAATACTCTGTTGTAAATTATTATGAAAGATGTAACTTAAAGGTGTAGCTTTACAATGGTTTAAGTCTTGCGTAGTAATGTGCAAGAAGTGATGTTTCATTGATATTGTATGTAAAATGTTAAATTATTGGTTAATTTGGAGACAGGTAATCGGTGATTAAAACTAGAAGACTGCAAGAAGATTTCCAAAAAGAACTACTGTGATGGTGCACTGTATTAATCTTCGTTCATTCAATGTTCGGCCATTTTTATCCATCTTCTTCGTTTACCTTCTCATTCATTGAAAATGATGTAGAGTTGAACGTGATTTCAACTAATCTGGTGCTGTTGTATATTTAAAAGTAATAATATAAGTATGCAATATAATGATCGTAATATTCGACTGTAATTCTGAAAAATTTTTAATCATTAGGAAATGATCGTTCTGTGTTATGCATTCTTTTCAGAAGTTAATATTTTGACAGTGTACTGATTTTAATAATTTAATCGTAGCTTAATAGAAGTATACAAATAAATAAAATCCGAATATTTAGAAAACAATGTAAAAAATGTATGTATATATGAAAGGATGAAATAGAAACTTAATGATTGTTTCAAATGTCAATTACTAGTCTAGAAAATGCAATACTGCATGCGTACGAGTATCGCAACAGTAATTATGTACGAAAAAACCGAGTTTTCGAAATGTTACCATCAACAACAACAACAACAACAAAAAATACATAAGTACGTCGATTAAGCGACAATAATTACGTAAAATTGTCTTTATTATCTAGCCTATAAGCATAGTACTACCGCAGTCATCATCATTTCATCTCCCACGAACTCGACTGGGGTAGCTCGGTACACTGACCTACAAACAATTCCACGCAAGTCCGATCAAACGAAAAAGTCTTTCACACGGATGAAAATCCAGCCGAAAGACTCGCCAAAGATTCA